ATAGCCCCACAGAATTTGTTCAAATTCATTTATTGGTATAGCGGATAGGATATTGATGACTGCATGACAATGGGATGCATTTAATCTGATTCGACCTTTGCTTATAGGTGAATTCACTGTAGTTAAGGTTGCTCCCGGCTTTCATGCATTTAGGCTGTGTGCATGAGAATGGGGGTTTTCCTATCTTCTTACTTCTTCAAGGTTTTATTGCATATTGTCTGGGGCTGTAATCTGGGTGATGTCCAATTTTTTTTTCTTTTTCATTTTTCCATTTTGTGTCCGTGCCGAGCGATGGGTGCACATGCACACTTTTATGTGGAGATGTCTCAATTCAGAATTTTGCTCCATAGCCAAACATAATGTGATAGCAAAAGTTCTATGATCTGTGATAAGGATAACTGCTTTAATAGAAGATTGTGTGCAACAAGAGTCATGAGAGCAATGCGTGGAGAAATCACTTGCATAGATTTTTGGACATCTTCACAAATTATTGTTACTTGTTTAGCTTATTAAGTGTTTGTTATCACTATCACTTCAGTGAAAGCATTATCTTCGATTTTGCACTACCTTTCAATTATTGGAGCTTATTTTGTGTGCTACTAATCAGCTCGTCCCGCAACCCCTTTCAAATACTTCCTATTCTAACTTTGAACCAGCAGATTTTGATACTTGCAGATGAATCTGCAGAGGATTCCATTGTGCATTCTGACTCGCGATCTCTGGCTACACTTCTCCTTATTCGTGATATTCAGGTAGTTTGTGGTTGCATTAGAGAAGTTTGGTTAGTAAATACCTCATACCATTTGTAAGTATTAACTGTCATTCCATTCTGCACTGTGTGTCAGGCGTGCCTCATTGACTTTAAATAATCTTCTGTAAGTAGTTTCTCAAAATAGTTAAAAGTTTCTGGAGGACAAGTTTTACATGATTGACCGTGTTTCTTTTCTTCCTGAAGTTTCTTATATTTTGCCATATAAATAGAAACAGTATGTAATTATTCATTTTACGAAGATAAAAAAAATGAAATAATTTGGTCCCATACATACATTTCCATCTAGTAAATGAGCAATGTGCTTGTGTGGTGGAATTTTTATTCAGTCATAAGTGATATTGAAAGAACAAAAACATTGCACAAGACATTTCCCAATATCTGTGGTGCCTTTTTTTCTTTTTTTCTTTTTGTGCTTCTTCGTTTGGAAGGACCCAGTTGCTTTGCAAGTAATAACCATATTTTTTTCGTTGATGAACGGATATTTGAGAAGATACGTTATGTGGTATACTGATGTTAAAAACTAAATGAATGGATCGATTGTGTTTAATAATATATGTGGGCGAAATATATACTGTTTTATCTATATCAATGAATGAAGGGTTTGTATCTGCTATCTTAGAAGCTGTAAAATGAGTTTAAACCAATAATCAGCAGTTAATCTCTTTGTGAGATTTGTGAAAACATCTTCATACATTGTAGATAAGTTTTGTGCCAAGAACCTTGTTGCTGCTTACTTGATGGTCCAGCTTTAATTAAGAATTTGATGTGGCTCCACTATCTCATTACTCCCTTCAGATATCAGTATGAAATATTTTCCTTTATGTTATATACTTGCCTAGTTATAGAGGAGTGAGAAATGAATTAGTTCTTTGTCCAAGACACATGTACAATTATTCTTCTTTATATGCAATTCAGATTCAGATGAACAATTTGTTTTTTATTCATGCCATGAGGAAGTTTTGATGTCATTCTCCTGTTGTTTCATGTGAGTTACTCAAATTTACTCTAATTCTCGCTGAGTTTATTTCTGTTTCTTGTGCGACAGTCCAAGCGGCTCCCATCAGAAGATGCAAAGTCAGCTTCTGTGAGGTACACCGGTTTCTCTCACAGTTCCTGGATCCGAGAGATGCAGCAAGCATCAGATAAATCAATAATCATCAGCGAGATCTTGGATTCCAGGACTAGAAATCTTGTATCTGTATCAAGGATTAGTGATTATGTTTTGTCCAATGAACTAGTTAGCATGGCACTTGCAATGGTAGCTGAGGACAAACAGATCAACCGGGTCCTTGAGGAGCTCTTTGCTGAGCAGGTACCTTCTTTATCTATTCATATATTGTAGCTGCATTAATCTTGTTTGAAGTATTCCTGGACGGAACCAGAGGAGAACAGACAAGACATGCAAATACTAAACTAACACTGTAAAATTATCTTCATGATTAATGGTTAAAACTTAAGAAGTCATTTTCCATATTTTCACTCTTGCTAATCAATTTACTACCATCTCCTTTTCTTTTTGGGTAATCTCCTCCTTTATAATGTGTGTGCAAGAAAGGCTATTAAAATGCATGAATTTTGAGAAGTGATAAAGATGATGATTAATGGAGCAAGGAGTAGAGGTGGATCTATTAACAGAGGAGATAACCCTTGATAGAACTGACTGGAAGAGGTGGATCTATTAACAGATGATCCATGTGGCTGAAAGTTGGGAAAAAGATTTTCTTTCTGTTGTATCTTTATTTTTTATCTTATTTTTTATTTTTATTTTTATTTTATTATTTTTTTTGTTGGGTAATCAGGGGAGTGGATCATCAAGATAAGGCCGTTAGGCATTCCCTTTAAATTTTGATCCATAGAAAGCATTTTACAATTTGATTTTCCTTTCCAAAAATTATCTATTCCTGATCAACCTTATCCACAAGGAAACCATTTATACAAATCCTTTTATTGATATGGCATACTCGAAACTTTTTTCTCTGATTAGTAAAATTTTCCACTCTTACAAATATGAGAGTAGCAAAATTGCATAATGCATTTTAAGAGTTCATCCCATTGTTTGATGAATAAACGATATATTCCTCCATTTGTATGTATTTTCTGGAGGCATCCACCAAGAAGCTTAGTCTACTTCAATGGCCAAGCAGTATCTAAGTGTAGTCCTAAGGTAGAGTAAGATTATTTTATAGTTGAAACATTACTGTTCAATGTTACAGGGAAATGAAATGTGCATAAGACCAGGAGAGTATTATCTGTACGAGCAGGAAGAACTGTGCTTCTACGATATTATGGTTAGAGGTCGTGAAAGACATGAAATTGTGATCGGCTAT